TTCAGTATCTAATCGATGTAACCGAAGTGTGTACGCTTGGAATATATATGAACACTAATTTTCTTTATGTTCAAAGGTTACTCAACAGCTAAGGCACCTCTGATATTTTCATGTGCGCATCATTTCCAACATAATTACCATTGTTTTAACGGTGAAGAAAAACATCGTGAGGAAACATGCATGTCTGAAAGAACCTAGCAAGTTTTTAAAAGACGTGTGAAGTCCGCCAATCCACACTAGGCCAGTGTGGTGGACTATGGCCTGATTTCCCTCGTGCTGAAGGGAGGACTGTGCCCAGCAGTGGGACTTTAAAAAAGGACTGAATACAAGGCCTGTGGCTTCACAACGTATAAAATATACACGAAATAGAAATTGTATTTAACCAAGTTCAACAAATTATGAAAACAAGCTATACTAATATTATAAAGTGGTAAAGTTTGTGAGTTTGTGAGATTGTGAGATTGTGAGTTTGTGCGTTTATGACATTGTTGGGGGTAATCTCTGGATCTACTGAACGGATTTAGATGGAATTTTGTAAGAAGATATTTTGAGACCCTGGAAAGGACAGGATACTTTTTATACCGGAAATCATTCCTTAAAGAGGTGAAAATGGAGATGAAAGTTTGTATGGGAAATCCAGCTAGGGATGAACCCCAGCGAAGCAAGGGTGAGTCGCTAGTTTTATATAATTCCATAGCTGTTTTAGCGTGAAGGAGCAATAAATATACAAACAAAAGCAAGCAAATGCGCACACACGCGATTAAAATTTGGGTAATTTTTGTTTAATGTAGTTGTGCGAAAAATATCACATTTCATGTAGATTATACCACGACTAATTATAATTGTGATAATTTATGTTTAATTTTAGAAATCAATTATTCATATATTCCTTTATCACGTATGTAACTAGCATATAAGTTGTTAACGTCATTTAATATATTGTTTCACATAAAACAATGTTAACATAACAAACAATATTATTGAGTTTATCAAGAGAACAAACTCAAAGCTAATAATTTAGTGTAAATGGGTTGAATAACTTAATGCAATATTATCATTCAATTTCTAGTTGAAAATATTATATGAAATTCAATTATTTACTACTCTATCAACAGCGAAGTGGGTCAAATTGATTTACGAGTAAGGTTTGGCGCACACTGTCGAATATACGGTTTTGTTAGATAAGCTGAATTGAGCGGTAACAAGTCAAGCTTTAGTTCTTTTTCTACACATCACTCGCTAAGTAGAGTTCCTGTAAGGCATTTTTTTTTATCTCAACAACTGAATTTATATGATTCATACAACTTAAAGGGTAATTTTTAACGTAAAGTACTTGGATATATCTTTACATTAAAATATTGATTAAATGAAGTCGCTTCCGCTGTTCCGCTTCCGCCTGTTCGTTTAGATCTTTTAAATAACTCAACAGATTTTAATGCAGTTTTCAGCACTAGATAGAGTGATTCAAGAGAAAGGTTTATATGTATAAAATATAATACATAATTTTCTCGTTCAAAAAAACCGAGAAATTGAGGGATTTGTATTTCATACTAACCGTTAAAACTTACCTAGGGACATACCCGAGCGAAGCGAGGGTGAGTCGCTTGTTATATATAGATCACACATATTTGTACTACAATTATCTATTAAATAAAATCAAAATGACATATATTATGTATTTTCTCACCGTGAAGGAATAAAATGAATGAGCCCGTACCATACCCAGAGACAGTGTAAAAGTTCAATTTTTATTAGTCGAAGAAGTTAATACTTAGCACAATGACAATGGAATTATAATCATCACACAGAATTTGAAATAAAAATTATATAGACAGTTTAAAATTATATAACAGTATTAATTAATTTTGAAATAATACACTCAGAGCTTCCGGTTCACTTATTTTAAGGCGTATGTTGTAAATAGGCTAACATTTTAATATAATGAAAAATACGCGATTTGTCGATCAATGTGCGAAGCGTCTTACATCATTGTGATGTACTTGTACTAATACAAGTCGTCATGGTTTCAAAAATGTATAAACGGAATACGTTTAGTTTAGATTTAAATTAAAAAATATTTTGAAAAAAAAATTTAAAATGTCAAATATTCGCCAAAATCTAAGAAAGTATTAAAAAAATATTTATTTATTAAAAATACGTTGTATTGTGTCCTTTTTAGAGAACTTTTACATCAGAATTAGATATTTTATTTAATTATTAACTTATTTTTGTTACCACAGAGCTTTTTTAATATAATAGACAAGCTGGCATATTCGTTTATATTTTCATATACTATATAAGAGGGAAAAGGATGAGATTTAAACTTTAAAGATCTTTTTAACATTATAAACTTTCATCAAAACCTCGACATAGTAAGTAGTCGTAAAAAGTCGAAAGTTAGCAGATTTTACCAATAGCTCGAAGCGGTCTCATTTAGAGCTTTGCGTTACTCCGGAAGTGAACCGAAAATTTCAAGATAACTTTTTACCTTTGAATCATTAGAAGAAAACTTTTTAAGACAGATAAAGGTGGTCTTTAACTAGATGAAAAAAAGGCTTTTTGAGGATAAATAAAAGTAATTTGACTTTCAACGCTTTCGAATGTGATTTATGAATTCTTGGTTATGTCAATTTAGTCTAAGATACATACTAAGGTACATTTTATTCATCTATGAAGAATTTATTGACTATCAAATGCAAGGCGTAGATAATACACAGGGTCGTTTTTAATTTGCTGAAAACCTTTTGGGAATATACTATTTACATCATAACAACAACATCTGTAACAGGAAAAAATAATATTTCTCAAATTTTTATTTTCATACAAAAATAAAAATATTTTTTTGCACCTTCTAAACTTTACAGTTCTAGTATCTGGCCAAGTTTAAATGAGTAAGCGCGGCTATCTACAACACCCTCCACCCCTCCCCCTCCACCGGACACGCACTTTCTTTTGCTAATGCTGGACTATTACCGTTTAGAAGGTGCAATAAAAATATTTTTATTTTTGTTAAAGTTAAAAAATATTTTTTTTTCTTGTTACAGGTGCTGTTGCTATGATGTAAATAGTGTATTCCCAAAAAGTTTTTAGTAAATTAAAAATGACCCTGTATAAATGGTAAAAAAAATCATGATCGAATAAAATTTATATAATAGCAATAAATTCGAAACGTCGGGAACCAAAAATCAAAATAAATATATTTTTATAATTTTAATAAGTTTTATAATTAAATATGGTATATTATTAATTTATTTTTGGCTGTTATTATTATAATTATTACAATTTTTTAGAAAATTTTATTTATTAGTAATCTTATTTAGTGTTGCCAATTTTATATTTATAAACATAAAGAAAATAAAATATTAATTATTTAAAGCAACGTTATTGTACGATTTCTTATTTTGACTTTTTATTTATTGAAGTATAACAGAATGATTCGAAAGGTATAATGTGATAAACCTCTTTTGTTGTATGATAGCAATAGACTATAAAGGCCACTTTCATACTTATTTTTTTTCGAAGTGTTCGAGTGTTTTTATTTAAATGTTGATTAAATAATATGTAACTAGGCTTAATAAATATTTTCATTTTTTTAAAGGTGTCACTCTAACAGAACTGTGATAAATACCATTTTTTAAATACTTGTTGTAGCTCGAAAAATCTCAAAAAAATAAATATTATAATACTTTTTACCCTCTACAAATTCTCTTTGGCTTCATTTAATTTGAGGCAGTAGACCTTATGAAAAAAAAAATTCGACCCCTCAGCTATATATATTTTTATAATTATCTTCAAAACTATTAATGATAAAGAGGTAAAAATGATATATTATTGCACAGTTCCACTCACTAAATAAATAACGTAAGTAAGTCCCAAGATCTAGAGAATGGACCATTTGGCCATGTTTATCCCGCTATACCCTTTAGTAAAAAGATTGAGACCCCGGGAAGAATATATGATAGTTTTTATCCCGGAAATCGTCCTTTCAAGGGGTGAAAATGGGGATGAAAGTTTGTATGGAGAAGCAACCTAGGGACTAGCCCGAGCGAATCGAGGGTGAGTCGAGTCGAGTAATCACATTTTATCTAAAATTTTCCTTTTTTTTTATCGTCGGGAAATGCATTTACGCATACCACCTGATCCCCCAGGTGGTGATGTGGGGCTCACCGGCTAGAAGAGCCGGTACTACCCACTAAAACCCGACATCCCTTCCCCCCGCCTTAGTGGGACGCCGCAGGATCGCTTGCGCATAACTACTACGGCGCCCCGGCGGCAGGTCTGCCTAAATACTAGGCAGACCACCAAACCAATGGGGCTGCTCCACAGTCTACTCTGCTACGTCAGAGAGGTACCCGGAGCAGCCCCATAAAACCAAAACACCGCCCACTGAAGTGGGCCACCTCCAATCGGCTGCAGAGGACAGGGAGAGCGGCAACGAAACACCGACACTCCTCTTCCCCTGCAGCCCCACCGCGTCCGCCATCAAACGGTGGCGGCCCCGTCTAGGCCGCGGAAGGTAGGGAGAACGGCGCACCGAAATACCGGCACTCCTCTCCCGCCGCGGCCTACCCCTCCGCCGAATGCGGGCCTGCGAACACAGTCCCGCAACCGGCACCCATCACGGTTGTGGGACCAAGCGGTCCCACCACCGGTGGCCGCAACGTCTTCGGCTCGAGGCCTAGACGATAATAATATAGTCTCATAAGACTATCCATAAGATACAAAATAATATGTATTTTATAAAAAATATATCTAAAACAGTTTCAAAATTGGCGAAATTTCTGGTGATATACAAGAATTCATGGTCTCGTGTTTTAATCTGTTATTATCAGTCAGTCAATAATAACAAATTAAGAGAGTGATAAGATTAGGATAAAAGATAAGATAAGAAATTATTATGAAGATATAATGCCATAAATATTGGAAATTAAATTGCAAAGATAAAACATACAAAACGTTTAATTATTTATATAGGTTTGGTATGTCAGTGTGTAGAGAACATGAGCTTGTTAATATTTTTATTGTGGGCTTCTATAGCTTTAGTGTCAGCTGGAAATCATGATATTTATTCTGGGTACGTGATAAAATTGCAATAATTGTTTTCTTTACAAGAAGATTAATTGCAGTATAAATGAAAATTTTACACTTCATATTATATTCTCTTCTGTTTAAATAAAAATGAATGTTGCTAAGCGCAAAATTCGATAACGGCTGGATAATTAGCATTTTTTTTTTTGCAAATATTCGCTGAAGTCTACATTTTCAGGGTACCAGAACCGTTGCGTTTGCGGATAACTCGTTAGTTTTCAATTTTACACGAAAAATAGTTATTACAAAAGTAGCTTAAAATTAAATTTCCTACAATTTTGGTTCTCATAATTTTTCATAGAATCGATATTTTTCGATTTATACCCGAAAAGAGGGGGTGAATTTTTGTTTTTTGAACAACTAGTTTATTTTTAATTTTACGCGAAATAAGTTATACTTCTATAAAGGAGATAAGACGAGGTGGTTTTATAAAATATATGTATAAAAGAAATAATTTTAAGGATTTTAGTGTTATAGATTTGCATGTGACTTCAATTAATGTACAATTTATAATAAAGAGAAAGTGTGTAATATATATGTTCCATTTTGTACGTTACATAATAAGCCTCCAATATTTTATAGTTAACTAATTTAACATTAAAACAAAGAATTACATTCTCTTTTTGGTGATCAATTTTTAGGCAGTATTTATAATACACATTTATTGTATTATGAATCTTTTATGCTGTTCACAATTGAAACGTGTAGTAAAATATTTAATACTAGCGACTCACCCTCACTCCACTCGGGTTATTCCCTAGTTACCTTTTAACTTTTAGTATAGTATATATATTTCTTAGGGATGAGATATTTTTCCGCAGTAAAAAGTATCCTATATGTTGACCCGGAGAACAAGTTGTCATTATACCAAATTTCATCAAAATCTAGTCACTATCAGTAGTTTTCTCGTGATGCGTTCCCAGACAGACAGACTGACAAAATTCTAAAAACTATAGTTCGGCTTCTGTATCGATAGTAATGACAATAATTACTACTATATTAATATCAATAAGATTTAAAATAAAATAATTAATGTACAGATTCAAATCAAAATTTTATTACATGTATAGATATATTTTAAAAATAATGATGAAACTATGTTAGTAAGCAATAGCTAATAATAACATGGTTAAAAAACGCTATATAGCTAAGTTTCAGTTTTTATTTGATAGAGCGAATCTCAGCTCACTGTTTCAGCTGCTTGTAATCTGCAAGTTCATGAGAAGTCATGATTCCTAAATCCGAACTCATTTGGAGCCCTCTTATATCCTTAAGCCGGGCTAGAGTTTTAATTGTTACTTATATTATTAATACAAATGTATCTATACTTATTTCATATTTTGTCAGTTTATCCTTCACGCAGTTACTTCCTAACTAAAATGCTATACGGACTTTAGAATCACTTAAAAGTCATTGTTCTACACTTAGAGGTGGTCTTTTCCTTTTAAATTTCTATGACTGCCATAGAGATATAAATAAATAATTAGGAAAAAATAGTTCTCAATTTGCGAAGTTATCGCGTAATGTACCAACAAAAAAAGCAAATTAAATACCTCTTTCTTTTGAACTCGATCAAACATGCCATTTATTCATACATAATATTTTTTTACAAATCCAGATACGCAGTCTACGGCATTCACCTAAAAGATGAGGTAGATCAAAAATCTCTAATTAGTCTAGAAAAAGAACTAGACGTTGATGTCTGGAACCATGGTGCATTGGAAACAAGAGACGCCTTAGTTATGGTGTCTCCGGAGAATAAAGCTCAATTGTTGAAAATTTTAAATGAACGTGACTTGAAGTATTATCTTCATATGGCGGATGTTGCTAAGTAAGTTTTAACAGACTTTACAATTATTAATTTTTTACCGATTATTATTTAATACATTTTTATATAATATACTACCATGAACCTAATTCGTTCATGTATACTACATTTTGCAGTGGTAGCCCAGTGGTAACCGCTCTCTTTGAAGACCGAGTGAAGCGGATTCGAATCAATCCCGGGTCTCGCCCTCTGATATTTTCATATGCCAATCATTCCCAACATAATTACCACTTGTCTGGTGAAGGAGAATAACGTAAGGAAACCTGCATTTTTGAAATAACCTAGCACATTTTGCCGTGGCCGAGCCAAGCGTGGTGGAATTACGGTCTGATCCCTCTCATATTTAAGGGAATATTATGATTAAAGCTTATTGATGATGCTGGAATGTTATCTGTCATTTATGGACTTATTATCAGGCTTTGGATTAGTGAATGAAAGTGACGCTAGTGCTTTAGTTAAAAAACCTAAATAATATGGTTTAAAATTAAATTATTTTATACTCACTTAATACTCTACTAGATAAAAATATTCTTCTAACTATATAGATAAATTAATATGATAAGATAATAATGTGTCACGTATGTATTGCATTGAACATAGATATCCAATAATATGAAATACGTATTATCTTACCTTGTATATTGCTTCGATAACTTTTTTAATATTACATTTCTTATTTTTGTAAAGAATTCACATAATATTAGTGTGAAAACTGAAAGAATAATTGTATGTTAGTAACCGCCAATGATTTCGACGTAAAACAAACCCTAAAAAATTACATTTTTCGCCAAAAAACGGAGTGACCGTTCGCAGCTTTCCCACATTTTACAACATCCCCTTATCGCTAAGCTCTGCGTTACGTTATCTAAGGCCTTCATAAACAAGTGTGCCCTCGGGAACTTTATGACGCTTAATTCTCAGGTCATGAAGGCCTGACAGTGTGATTTTATGTTCATTCAGCCAGATTAACTGCATTTTAAACCCCCATTTAGTTTTAAAAATTGTGCTTAATGCCTAATATGAAGATAACGTGGTACTTTTAGTACTACAGTTACTACACCGGTTAGAGTCAGCATTTGTGCCCATTTCAAACACCTTTTATTACAATTTGTTATCTAAGTAAGAATAGTCTTAGTGTATCACAATCTAACTCTTGAATAATTGTAGCCTTGGATGCTGCGCTTTGTTTCAATAAGATGGGGATGGCTTTCTCACGGACTGATTATACTTGATATACATACATACGTATACGTATATCGAGTGTGAGTATAAGCCGACCTTGTCACAGGCCTCCCTTTAATACGAGGAGTATCATGCCCTTCAGTAACATAGTGGAAAATTTGCTAAGTTGTCTCAAGTCAATTATAAGTATATATAAGATATACTTTTGAGAGAATATATAAGTATAAAATAGTACACTTTAGGTTTTCTCACTATGTTTTCCTTCACCATTAGACAAGTGGTAATCATATTGGAAATGATTCGCACATGAAAGTATCATAGTTGTGGCACCCGGGATTTGAACTCACTTCACTTGGTTGGCAATTCATTGCATTGCTTACAATGTAAAAATTGACATTTCTAAAATGACTAAAATTTAACGACATTATTTTTGTGGGCTAATAATATATGGGCATAAGTGAAGCAGGTTACTTTTTCTCTCAGCAAAGCAAACATTTTCTGGGGGATATCAGTCCTGGAGAAATACACATTCAATGAAGATACATGTTCAATGAAGGAGTTCGGGTCATCCAGCAAAATAATTCTGACAGAACTAATCATACCATCCTCTTGTCATCTGGTTTTTAGACATGGCAGTGATAAAAGTCGATGAATATGAGCTACCAACTATAGAATTTGATCTTTATTCTATATTCATTATTAAAGAAAAATAATAATGTTGCGTTCTATCAAAAATAAAATTAATCTCTTTCAAAAAAGTTCTACTAGATTTTTACATATAACTTTGACTGTTCAATTTAATTACATTCCTATAGTCTTTAGTTAAAAAATAATTAAATTTTAGTGGTTTTAAGTCATTTTGAGGCTATAGTTTTTGCTTCTCTCTTTTGACTTTAGTGAAGAAAATTACAAAGTTAATTAATTATTTTTAACGTATAAGAGTGATTAAGACTTTTTTTTGTATAAAAACAAAGAATAAAAACATTTTTTAGAACTAGAATATAAAATTAATTTGATATATTTTAGGTATAACAAAATTAAAAAAAAAATCATAATTGAAAACAACACGAATTTTTCATTTGAATGAGATTTTTGTCGTAGTTTATCAATCTTACTAAAAGTTTAGATGTTTGGATGGATGGATGGATGTTTGTTACTCAATCGCAGAACGCCCGAACGGATCTAGATGAAATTTGGCACAGAGATAGTTTATAGTCTGGAATAGGTATGTAGGCCACTTTGTATCCCGGAAAAATGTACGGTTCCCATGGGATAGATTTATGTTTGTTTTTCTAGAGGCGAACCCGAGCGAAGCGACACGAGGGTGAGCCGCTACTATAACCATAAATAAAAAAAAAATGTTTTTTTTTACTATACTTCATATAATCCTATTTGTTGACTTAGGAAGGGAATTTATTTATCAAAAGGAAAGGTGATTATCGTTGCTAGAAACACTCACAGTTGTAATTAGAAATAAAACCTTAAGAAGCTTATAGCAATTATTAGCAATCTAATCTTACTGTGTCTTTTAGATCTCTCACAGAGTTTGATTTAGAAGTCGCTCGTTGGCAACGAAGCAGGTCAAATAGACTAGTGCCATATTCAGATTACCCCAGATATAGTGAGGTAACTAAATTATCGTGTTTATTTATTTATGTTTAATATTTAATAATTAATTATACAGCATTACAATTATCATGAGCGCATGATCGTGTCTGTTTTTTACTTCATTTATCCAGGATATATCCATACTAATATTATAAATGTGAAAGTGTGTTTGTTTGTTTGTCTTTCTTTCACGTCAAAATGGAGTGGCGGATTAGCGTGATTTTTGGTTAAAAGCTAGTTGAAGAGCTGTAAAGTGACATAGGCTACTTTTCATTGCGAGAAATCATCTCATTCCCACGGGAGAACACGTTATAATTTAACGATTATATTATAAATTGGGCGTTTGGGTTGTACCCAAAAAAATATTGATGATCAGAATTACTTGAAACTTTGTATTAATGATATTTCTATGAAACCTACTTATTATACAGATTTTATTTTATATTTCAATCATTATATTTCAAAAATCTGATTCATCTGAGCAGTCGGTATACTCTTTTAGAGTATATTTCGACGAAGCTGCCAATAGTTAATAATTATTGCATAAAGTTTAAACCTGGGAACAGCAATTCACTTTGCTAAAAGGATATCTGTACAATAGATTTAAAAGACGCTGTTAAATTTTGATCTTTACTTTTATCATTAACTCATAGTTTAACTTGATTTACTTACTTCTAGGTTGACCAATATATGGAAAGAATAGCTAGTGAGTATCCTAACTTGGTAACTTTGGTAAATGCTGGAGCTAGTTTCGAAGGAAGACCTATCAAGTACTTGAAGGTATTTATTTTTCATCTAAAATGGGCATTAATTTATTTCTGCTATTAAATAAAGTTATAATTGTCCTTTTATATAAAAAATGAAATAGAGAGAATTTTAATGAAAAAGCGATTTAATTTTCAGATATCTACTTCAAATTTCACAAATACCAGCAAACCAATATACTATATGGATGCGGCCATACACGCCAGAGAGTGGGTGACTGTACCTCTGGCTCTCTACACTGTGCATCGATTAGTTGAAGATCTGAGGGAGGAGGACAGAGACTTATTGGAGAACGTTGACTGGATCATCCTACCCATAGTGAACCCAGATGGATATGAATACTCTCATACTGATGTAAGTACGATTATGTCGTCTCGTATTATGTCAATAGAACATGTTTCTCGAGTGTGTACTTACAGTACCAATACAAATATTTTTTCATTCCAATCCATTAGTGCTATTTTGTAACCACTTTTATGCAAGATGGCAGCTAGATCTACCTACATACTATATGTGCATTGAAGAGGATTCAAAGATGTGAAACGGTAGATAGTCTTATACTTAATCTTATTGAAAGTAAAAATGAAAGGTTGCTTTACTACATATTTCTTGCTTACGAAAAAATAACTAAGTTTTTTTAAGGAGAAAACAAAAATAAAATGTTAATTTGGTTTACTATTAGGTGTAATTAATAAATAATATTTTTTTACGCATATTAATTTTGTTTGAAAAAATTTGGACTTCCTGTATTGGTAATTAGTAACTACCTAGTCATTACTTTATATATGATGTAAGGGTATATAATATGTTAATAATTAAATTTTATGCACCCATCTCGCTTCATGAAATGATTAGATTCGTTTATAGCTTATTTAGATACTTCATAATTAAAAATTATAATATCACCGTAAAAATCTATTTTTTTTTTGGATAACAAAGAAGCTAGATTGTAAATTGCTTGCTGTAAATGTCATCACAATGTCCAATCGAAGTGTTAAAAATTCTTAAAATACTGTTTAGTTTTATCGCTCTTCGGACAAAAGTTTTAACTTCTTTGCAGTTAACATTCTTGTTATATTTTTCCATGCGGATATGACGTGCACTGCAGAAAATTATTGCGTGTAATGTGTACACTATTCAATTGTATATATTGTAATATGTATGTATGTTTTCAGCCCTTTTTAACGTCCCACTGCTGGGCACGGGCCTCCTTTGAATACGAGAGGGATCAGGCCTAGGATATTGTAATATACATATATGTAAATAAAAATAAAGATTTAAGTCTTATATATCTTTAATGTACTTATTTATTAAAATTTACCTGTTTTTAAGAGTATTACTGAAAATAATTAGTATAAAGACAGTATAACTATCGATCTAACTATTATGATTATTTTGAACACCGTTTTAGTAATGATTTGGCTCTTTATTGATAGGGATTGAAGGGATATAAAAAGGCACATTAATATAGAATACTAGCATTGCCCGCGGCTACGCCTGCTTTCAGTTGACCAAAAACCAAATTCTTAGATTTTACATATTAGTATACTCTTACATTGGAGTTTTTGTATTTTTTCTTAAAAATTAAATTCGGTCTTAATCGATAATAATATTTTAAAAAGATTTTCCAAAAAATATTTAATTTACAGATTCCACTTAGTTACAATTTTATTATATGTATAGATTACATGACCTTAAACTTTGTGTAAGAATTTGTACTTGCCAAAATGGCACGTCTTCCTTTTGGCCTTTCGTGCTTCTAGTACAAAAGATACACTCTACAGAACTAGCTTGGCTTATTAACTTTAATCTCATTTACAGAATCGTCTTTGGCGCCGAACTAGATCATACTATCCAGAAATTAGCACAGAATGCTGGGGGGTAGATGCAAATCGTAACTTCGATGTCAATTTTAATACAATCGGTGTGTCCTCAAATGCTTGCTCCGATATATACCCTGGTCATCAAGCTTTTTCCGAACCTGAAACAAGATACGTCAGAGACATTATTCTAGGACATATTAACCGTATACAACTTTACCTAAACGTTCACAGTTACGGAAATTATGTTTTGTTTGGTTTTGGTAATGCCACTTTACCAGCGAATGCTCCTCACTTGCATGCAGTAGGTGCAGCGATGGCAGCTGCGATTGATGCCAAGAAACTAGACAAAGCGCTGTATTATTTAGTGGGGAACAGTAATTTGGCTCTGTATGGAACTTCAGGCAGCGCTCAGGATTATGGACAGGTGAGGGTTTTCTTGCTTTCAGTAATTTAGTATTTTAAATATATCGAAGCAACATTAATTTTCTCTATTATTTTCCATTATTTTATCATGACTTATACAGTGGGCGTTATATGGGAAGTGTTGGTTCAAATGAAAGTCGATGCAATCACAGTTGTATTTCAAATTAACAATAATCACTTTGTACATAGTTAAACAGCACTTCACTACACAGCCATATACCACTTCATTATTACCATGTATAGACAATACGGAACGCAAGACAGTTCCTAGTGGAGCGGTCCTAAGCTTGGCTCGGCTCGAAGGCAAGTGTCCAGCCCTCTTAGCACCCCTCCCTTAGCTAGGCTCCGTCGTAGCACGAAGCTCGCCGAGTGTTGGCGATAATACCGAAGGTGCTGCCATCACTCAGGCGACGTGCCGCGCTTCGTTTAGCGACCGTATTGATGACCGTCTCCGACACGGCCATCCTGCGTGCACACGCCCTCGTGTGTTAGCCGTGTGTTACCCTGCAACCAAATAATCAACGAAAATACTTGCTCGACTCGGTCAATCCTGACCAGATAAAACTTAACTTTGAATCTGAATCATCTTTATTCTAACAAAAAGCTTTAACGCTAACACCTTTGTTTTTTTTTTAACTCTGAGTCACTGTAACTATCTCTAATCTAACTAATAACATTAGTCATCCAGAGCCATGTACCAACATCATTCAACACTTCAGCAATCAAACTAATTTTCAAATTTACTAGCACCTCTGTAAACCACTCTTAGGCCACGGCTTTACAAGCCAACCTGCAATCACAATTGCTCCACAATCCAGGTGCATCCACTACGGGATCACCGTGTGTATCATCCTCTCGATGACTACACACTATGGTCATAACAGACCCCGACCTCCGCCAGAACTAAACGCACATCACACACCCACGGTCTATAAAGTTTGAGCTTCCTCAAAAGACCGACTTTTACCAGGCTATGACTACGTAATAGTTACTAGTACGGTCGACACTACTACGGCCGTCAGAATGCTTACATCGGTTTCCATCGACTTCATCAAAACATTTGCTTGGCATGATGATCATTATTTACATCAACCTCTATTGGTACATGACCTACTAGAATTTTTGTGTAAAGAATTTATAGCCGTCATGTTTACAGAAAACCTTTCAATATCTCATGTTCTATCATGATACCATTTTGTAACTAATAATTAGGCAAAACATAATATTTCAAAAGATTTCAAGAGAATGACCGTTAATCGTTACAAAACAAATTTTACTCTGTGCGGAATATTCTGTTTTGATCAATACTAGAAATTGCAAGGACAAAATCGTTAACCACACAATTTGAATGCTAAATGTTATCTTACTAACGAATATTCAGCAACATGATTATAACAAAAGCAATACAGATTACCTCTATGCCATTGAGCATTCGAAGATGGTTGTACAACACATACATCCACGCGTCGTTCCGTTCGTGTTGCACCCATATTGCTGCCGTCCACTTGACTGGCACTACTTATGCACCGGAGCGTGATGTGACCAGGCTTGCCACATTTGAAGCACACCAGAGATTTCACTGCAAGCTGCAATGCCGTTGCTGTCGTCGAAGGTCGTTCCACACTGTCATTTACCTTGCTTCTACACTTTGACCGCTTAAGACTCACTTTTTTTGCATTTCAAATGTGAGAATGCGTGCAATCCCTGCTGCAGTCGATCTCGCGAAGCAATTTTCGTAGTAAAGGCCAATCGTTGTAATTTCGAATTAAACTGACATAAGTGAGCAAGGACAGTCGCAATTGCTATCTGATTCTTGCTAGCGTCTTTCCAACGATTAGTCAGTGACGTCATCAGGCGATTTGCGTACGTAACGAATTTCTTTTTTCATTTGGTTTGTCACTGTTAAAATTAATTAGCGTACCAGCCAATGTCTCGGTGGAAATAAATCTCGCCTTGAAAATCACCTTGAACTCTTCCTATGTTATTCTCTGGTATACAAATTGTGATAGCCACGTCGACCCTTATCCTTTTAATTCCTTACTGACTGTTAAAATAAGCTAGCCGCCGTATGGAGGGTATTCGGCAAAACACAAATCTACAGTCGCAAATCAAGATCTTGCGTCCGTATCCATATTGTCAGGGTCAAACTCGCGTAACTTGACGTTCTTCTTCATCTGAGGCATTTGCAAGGCCTCGATAAGAGATCACATAATGACATTTTGTTGTTCAAACATTGCACGTCATTGTTCACTCATAGTTCTTTTTGCAATTGAACCAACACTGATCCCGCTTCTGATATCGAAGCAACATTAATTTTCTCTATTATTTTCCATTATTTTATCATGACTTATACAGTGGGCGTTATATGGGAAGTGTTGGTTCAAATGAAAGTCGATGCAATCACAGTTGTATTTCAAATTAACAATAATCACTTTGTACATAGTTAAACAGCACTTCACTACACAGCCATATACCACTTCATTATTACCATGTATAGACAATACGGAACGCAAGACAGTTCCTAGTGGAGCGGTCCTAAGCTTGGCTCGGCTCGAAGGCAAGTGTCCAGCCCTCTTAGCACCCCTCCCTTAGCTAGGCTCCGTCGTAGCACGAAGCTCGCCGAGTGTTGGCGATAATACCGAAGGTGCTGCCATCACTCAGGCGACGTGCCGCGCTTCGTTTAGCGACCGTATTGATGACCGTCTCCGACAAATAAATATAAATAAATATAGTAAATATAAGTAAGTAAATTATATATATATATATATATATATTGATAGGATATTAATCCCCCCACGACAGGGGACACGCCGGCGTGTCAGTTAACAATAGATTTCTTAGAATTTTAATTAATTTCTTAGAAATTTACCTGGAGGTGTTAAACACACAACCCGCGACCGCTGGCAAGTTGGGTCACTACAAACTAAGCCAAACGTGTCGTCAAAATAATTTTGCATATTACCATTAATATAGTGTTGTTGTTTTGCAAATTAATAGCCATATTTACTCAATTACAGTATTATCTAATTACATTAAAGCAGAATCCATATAATTATTACTTTTCCAGGCGGTCGGAGTGCCACTTTCCTACACACTAGAGCTACCCGGATATGAATACGATTTCCGCGTTCCTCCGCAGTACATCGAACAGATTAACAAGGAGACGTGGGAAGGAATTGCAGTGTCTGCTAGATTTGCCAATTTGTTGTATCAAGCGAGAAACTCTAGTAGTACTAATTAGTATTTAATAACAATGATGAATTAAAATAATATTTGATTTTAATGATCTTATATTTTATACAAGCATTGCCCGCGGCTCCGCCCGCGTACAGATGACCAAAAATCAAATTCTTAGGTTTTACATATTAGTATACTCGTACATTGCAGTTTTTGTATTTTTTCTCAAAAATAAGATATTTTCCCGCGGTATAAAGTTGTTGTTGACCCGGATAACCAGCTATCATCATACCAAATTTCATCAAAATCCTTCCAGCGATTTTTCTGTGCTGCGGAAACAGACAGAGAGTCAGAGAGACAGACAGACAAAAATTCTAAAAACTATAGATTCGGCCTCTGTATCGATAGTAATGTTTATTTCAATAAGATTTTCCAAAAAATATCTAATGTACAGATTTGGCTTAGTTACAATTTTATTATATGTATAGATTATACAAATCTTGTTTAACAAAATTGATTGTCTTGGGAAAACAACAACATAAACACAACAACAATAATATAATATAATTTTACTTTTTATAATCTATATTTATTTTGTATTCAGCCCTTTTTAACAGTCCACTGCTGGACACGGGCCTCCCTTCAATACGAGGGGGATCAGGCCATAGTCCACCACGCTGGCCAAGTGCGGGTTGGCGGACTTCACATGTCTTTCGAAAACTTGTTAGGTTCTCTCAGACATGCAGGTTTCCTCACAATGTTTTCCTTCACCGTAAGGCAAGTGGTAATCATGTTGGAAATGATTTGCACATGAAAATATCAGAGGTGCGAGACCCGTGATTTGAACCCGCTTCACTCGGTTTCCCAAGTGAGCGCGTTACCACTGGGCTACCACTGTCTTTAAAATATCTATACTAATATTAAAAATGTGAAAGTTTGTGAGTATGGATGCATGGATGTTTGTTACTCTTTCACGCCCGAACGGCTGAATGGATCTGGATTAAATTTAGCACAAAGAAATATTAAAGTCTGGAATAACACATAGGCTACTTTTTATCCCAGAAAAATCAGCGGTTTCCGTGAGATAGCTTTGTTTATGCTTCCCTAAAGTAATATTTTTAGTATAATGAAAATGTTTATGACTGTTGTATTATGCGGTAATATTTGGGCAACCGCTAAAGATAAAATGCCACAGTAAAAGATAATATTAATAAATAGATAAAGAAAATAAAAGATAATACGATAAACCTAATCTATGCTTCAATGTTATCTCTGCGTAATAAAATTGTATAAGACATGTCAAATTTCTGATTAAATCAACGACATATAACTATATCTAAATACAAAGCAAAATTGCAATTAAAATAAAATATTGTACGACTCGTTAACCTGTCGGTCTGTGCAGTGTTATAAATATGCCATTTGATATGTACATACCCGTATTTTTCATAAAATATACCTTTTATTGAGATTTCATTTAAAATATTGTTTACTACAAAATTTACTAAATATTATCAACCAAATAATTTTCACGTATATCATAATGTTTTTAAAATAGTTGGATTTCTAAAACCGTTTATAAACTTACTTCTTACTAATATTATAAATGTTAAAGTTTAGTGTTTGGATGTTTGGATGAATGTTTGTTACTCAACTACATTGTTTTTATGTATCTCTTAAGTTTTAGCAAGCGTAAATTTCTAAGAACGACACAATAAAACCAGTTATTGTGTTTTCCCGTGGGAATAGTAAAAGATATCCTAAATGTTGAACCGAGTAATAAGTTATCACTACACAAAATTTTGTTAAGTTACTGTTTTATTAAATGTATAGATATAGATAAAAATTATATATTAAATTAAATTAGATACTTTAAAGTCTTATTAATCAATGATACCGTTAGATAAAATGATTACGATATATGTTTTTATCATTTTTAAACTAATTCAGTAAGTATTACAACGTGTTCAGGAATATGATGATTCTTGTATTAGCAATTTGCGCGTGTTTAACTACAGTTTTAGCTGAGAAACATGATATATATGAAGGGTATGTAATAATAACTATTTTTTCTGATTGCTTTTTTAAATTAATATAAAATAGTGGCAAAGTCCGAGCTGAGTCAAATTTAGCTTACGTATATGAAGATCGGCATTTAAAGATTTGACGGTTCATTTGGCTCAGTTTGTAGTGACCCTACTTGTTGTGCCAGCGGTCGCGGGTTTGAGTCCCGATAGGGGGATACATTTATTTATTTAAAATCATCAGCATAAGCATTTGTCAAACTAAGTCCGTATTTCTTAAAAAATAATAATCATTTAATATTTACCAGATTCTCGGTCTATGGCGTCCACTTACGCGATACATCCGACCAAGATATTATAGATAATTTAGAAGTAGAACTGAACGTTGATATCTGGAACCATGGTGCTTTGAAAGTAAGAGATGCCTTAGTTATGGTGTCTCCAGAGAAGAAAGCTGCTTTTCTGGATATATTGAATGCACGTGGCATGAAACACTATCTTCATCTCGCTAATGTTGCTAAGTAAGTATTATCGCGTATTTCTCTAGGTGACTAACATTATCTTATGTGATACTCCAGGCCATAGTCTATCTCCTACTCCCCCAAAAACGTGTGTTCACGCTGTTGTGTGCATAGTAGTTCCCGGCAATCTAGCTGGGAGATCCAGGGAGGCGGCCCATCTTGGTGGGCGGTGTACCATGTGGGTTGCTCCTGGTAGTAGAGTAGACCGTTGAAGCAACCCCGTGACTCTTATGGTCTGTTTTGGCAGACTTGCCGTCAGAGCGAATGCGAATTAAGACGGGGCTTATAAAAAAATAGGCCATAGTTTCTCTGTGTACTAAATTTCATTTAATTCTGTGCAGACATTTGAGCATGAAGCAGTAACAAACATACACACAGTATACATTACACATTATAATATTAGTTCCATTGTATGTATACTATGTGAAAGCCAAAGTTTTATCAGTATCTATAATGTTTATGTTTTTTATTACAGGATTATTTTATTCTACACTAGTAATCGAACCCGTGCCCTGCACAGTATGACAGGTATTTTTATTCAGCTCTTTTTAACGTCCCACTACTGGTTACGGACCCCCCGTCAATACAAGGTAGATCAAGCCATAGTCCACTGCGCTAACCAAGTGCGGGTTGGCAGACTTCACATGTCTTTTTTGAAAACTTGCTAGTTTCTCTCAGATATATAGGTTTCCTCACGATGTTTTGATTTGTTGTAAAACAAATGGTAATCATGATGGAAATAATTAGCACATTAAAATATATAAGGTGCGAGACCTGGGATTTGAACTCGCTTCACTCGGTTTCCTAAGCGAGCGCATCACCACTGGGTTACTACTGATATGAGGAATAAGAAATCAAAAAGAAAATTTGCATCTAAGACCAGATATGATAAAATGGTCTGCTTATGTTGACGAGTCTTAATGTTTATAGCTTAAACATTGTATCTACCTTTTCCTAGATCTCTCAAAGAGTCAGACGTGGAAATGTCCCGCTGGCTGCAGACCAGGTCTAACAGGCAAGCGCCGTATTTAAGTTATCCTAGACATGCTGAGGTAATCAAATGTTTAAATTTCAAATCATTTCATATAGTACTATATATATATCTGCAAACTAGCAACGTACCCTTTTTTTTTTTTTTTTTTTAACGTTGGGAAATGCATTTACGCACGAGGTGTGGGACTCACCGGCAAAGCCAGTACTACCCACTAAAACCCAACGAAACCTTCCCCCGTCTTAATGGGGCGTCGCAGGATCGCTTACGCATTCAACTACGACGCCCCGACGGCAGGTCTGCCGAAGCAGACCACAACAACCACGGGGTTGCTCCACAGTCCACTCTGCTATCAGAGAAGTACCAGGAGCAACCCGCATGGTACACTGCCCTCCGAAGAGGGCCACCTCCCACCGCCCACCGAAGTGGGCCACCTCCCTGTGCGTTTCTTGGCTTCGCGCCCGGTTGGGTTGCCGGGCACTACTGAGCCCCCCCCACCACGACAAGGTGAACGCACGTTGGGAGCAACTTACCCTCCCTTAGCTCGGGTTCGTCCCTTTTTTTTTGATATCGCTGGGGAAACCCACAGCGGAACCCTTCGCCGCAGTGCAATGGGGCGTTGTAGGATCGCTTGCGCACACAATAAACACCCCAGTAAACTCGGGTTCGTTCCTAGTTTACGCAGCGCAAGCCAAATAATGACTATTATAGGAAATTTTTTGATACTAAGGTTACATTTTTGCAATTTTCGTGGAGATATTTTTTTAAACGCTCATACCGCTATTCATCAATCTTAGTAACTTTGAACACTGTTTGTTTTTGTTTTTAATTTTTACACTTAATCTAAATAATTTTACAAACTGTAAATAAAATTATGGCTTATTTCAAATAATAAAGACCAATATTTTTATGTTTTACCTAGCTCGCATCAAAGACAATTAAAAAAATTCACTAACATACTTCGATAAACATAATATTTACCCTTATTTTTATTTATAGGTTAATGAATACATGGAGATGATAGCAAGGGAGTACCCTAACCTGGTGACCTTAGTGACCGCAGGACCGAGCTTCGAGGGAAGACCTGTAAATTACTTGAAGGTTATTAAGTTATCTTTAAGTTAGAGCACATCATTGAATTCTTAAATATGAACTATCTATAAAAAATAATTATTAAACATGCAAATAAGTGCACTACTTTGTAAAATAATAAGACAATAGATATGTTCAAAAAGTATTGAAAAAAAAATGCACGTCAATTGTTTTCAACCGACTTCCTTAAAAAGGAGGAGGTTCTCAATTCGGCTGTATTTTTTTATGTTTGCTACCTCAGAACTTCGTCATTTATTAACCGATTTGGACAATTTTTTTTTGTTTGAAAGTGTATACTTCCAGATTGGTCCCATTTAAATTTCAAAATAAAATACTACCCCTAGGGATGGAAAAATAGCTAATGATGAATTTAACCTACTTCTAATTGTCATATTGACTTGAAACTTTGCAAGTGTTTCTATTTCCGTTGATAGTACAGTGGTTCGGTATTGTTGATCTGATTTGATAGCAAGGCCAGAAGGTGGATAGGTGGAATTCTTTAACGGCTAATAGTAGATACTTTGAGTTTGGGCTTATTTTATTTGATTTGACAAGCCTAACACGTTAGAATTCTTACTTTGCCACTACTGTCTACACTAAAAAGGGAAAAATAAAAACTTTTTAACAAAAAAATAAAAATCGACTTCAAACAAAAGCTCTAAAAAGTAAAAAATAACTGATTGGTAGTTCTCATTCACTATACATACCTAATCAAATAATTTCGACCTCGGTGCCAGCCGATACAAAGCAAAGCACGCCGACTTCGAAAATATTTTATTAGTTATGTACTCGTATAGTTAATGAAAACTACCAATCAGTTATTTTTTACTTTTTATTGCTTTTGTTTGGAGTCGGTTTTTATTTTTTTGTTCAAAAGATTTTATTTTTTAATATAAATCTTAGATATTTGTTTATTTAGATCGGACTTCTATTATAAATCAAAGACTCCAATGGAGTCAACTAGGGTCGCTAGGTTAGGTCGATAGTATTTCATAATTTTAAATTATATTTCAGATACATTCTTCTAAAAAATTGAAAGAAAGATTTTAATAACAAATCGATTTTATTTTCAGATATCTACTTCAAACTTTACAAACACCAGCAAACCTATATACTTTCTGAATGCGGCCCTGCACGCCAGGGAGTGGGTGGTTGTACCTGTAGCTCTCTACACTGTGCATCGATTAGTAGAAGATCTGAGGGAAGAGGACAGAGACCTATTGGAGAATATTGACTGGATCATCCTACCCGTAGCGAACCCAGATGGATATGAATTCTCTCATACTGATGTAAGCATTGAAAATTTAGTTTAGAATCGTTAATTAATAATGACCACCACACCGAATTCTGTCATGCGACTAATCTCTACATAGACTAGCCAACTGCACGGGAGATAAGTGCATAAGTATGCGCGCAGATTGCACTCATTATTCCATAATACTTTCTTAGATTTACGCGAATATTTGACATTTTAAATAAAACTATGTTTTCGGATTTTTTCGCCAATTTATTTTGATTTTTGGTTCCCGACATTTCGAATGCTTTACAGCAATCATGGTCACGGGAGAGACTGAGGTGTTAGATGTCTCAAAGGTATTATATAGTTGTTACAGACAGTCTACCCACAAATAACAAAAAGAATTCAAAAAATTGAACCAAAGTATCTTACAATATTTTTTAACTTTAAACATTTTTATAATTTTAATTAGTTTTATAAATAGTAACATAAATAATAAATATAATAAAAAAATAATATCTATTCGCGAAAAAATCCGAAAAGATAGTTTTATTTAAAATCTCTTTATTCCATTTAAAACTCTGATAGGACGACATCTTGACATAGCCCATGCGAGTTAAGGTAGATTGACGTTTTAATGTGCTCTCCGAGGCACGGGGGGTAAAACACCGCCAACTTGCCAACTCCGGGTTCGTACTAAAATTTTTATAAAAGAACGACTCAATAACTAAACTTTGCCTGACCTAAAATTCGAATTGATGATCTCCGGATGTGCAGCCGTACATGCTAGCCACTACACAACCGAGGTAATGTGCAAAAAAATTACCACAATGTAGTAAACATGATCACGTACCAAGTAGTGTTAACGTTTGGTTACATAATTGTGGTGAACAATAAATTATAATTAAAGCATATTAACATCATATACTTTTGGTAGCTATGCCAATGACCACTTTTTTTATAAATAGACTACCAATAATTTGTGTTATCACTTCTCATTGTCATTCTTTACTAAGCAATGAAAAAAAACCGGCCAAGTGCGAGTCGGACTCGCGTACGAAGGGTTCCGTACCATTATCTATAAAAATGGCAAAAAATCGTGACTGTTGTATGGGAGCCCCCTTAAATATTTATTTTATTCTGTTTTCTAGTATTTGTTGTTATAGCGGCTACAGAAATACATCATCTGTGAAAATTTTAAATGTCTTACTATCACGGTTTACGAGATACAGCCTGGTGACAGATGGACAGATAGACAGACGGACGGACAGTGGAATCTTGGTAATAGGGTCCCGTCGTTTTACCCTTTGGGTACGGAACCCTAAAAGGGCTACTAAGGCAATAAAAAAAAATAAAAAAAAAGTCACGTAAAATGGAGAAGACATTTCTCCATTGTACACGACATTGTCGAAGTAATCTGTGCTCAACAAACACGCTTTAATGCCATTGACAAGAAAATTGAATTGAATAAAAAAAATGTAAAAAGTCACTACTCACAAAGAATTAAGTTAATCTGGGAGACAGTTATCAATGTATCACTTTTTTCATTATCAAATCGGTGCTTAAAAATATATGTTATATAGTGCTTGTACCGCCATAGTTTTGTTTTCCAGAATCGTCTGTGGCGTCGTACTAGGTCTTACAATCCTGCCGTTAGTACCGAGTGTCGAGGAGTTGACGCTAACCGTAACTTTGATTTTAACTTCAACACGACCGGCGTCTCCACAAACCCTTGCTCTGACGTCTACCCAGGAACCCACGCATTTTCGGAGCCAGAAACAGGATATGTAAGAGATATTCTTCAAGAGAATATTAACCGTATACAAACATTTCTAGACGTGCATAGTTTTGGCAATTATGTACTATTTCCGTATGGTAACTCCACTTTACCACCAAATGCCCCACAGTTGCATGTAGTCGGAGCGGCAATGGGAGCTACAATGGACGCCAAGAAAATAGCAAAAGCTCCTTATTATTTGGTTGGGAACAGTGAACTAGCACTATATGGTGCTTCCGGTGCCGCTGATTGCTACAGTCAGGTAAGGCTGTACTCTTTTTCATTCAATTTCATATTAAGTTTTGACCAGTCCTTTAGTTTTAAACAATTCTATAGTTTTATTTCAAATTATTACAAAATATATTATATGGACGTGTTTAATATAATATATTTATGACGGTTGAAAAAATTAATTTGTAATCCTTACTTTTTCAGTCGGTTGGTGTACCGCTCTCCTTCACTATAGAGCTACCCGGATATGAGTACGATTTCCGCGTGCCTCCACAATATCTCGATCAAATTATTACAGAGACATGGGACGGAATAGCTGTGACAGCTCGAATAAGCCACATGCTGTCAAGGACTAATAACTAGTTTTAAAACTAATTGTGTTTTTTAGTTAATATTAGAAAAAATAAAATTAAACGTTGTAATTTGTTTTATTATAACGACAACGGCTATCCTTTTTTGCTTATATTGGCTTTTTAAAATACACATTTTTAAATAAATAAATAAATAAATATGTTGGAACATTAACACACAGCACCATCTAGTTCCATGGAAAGCACAAAGCTTGTGTTATGGATACTAGATGTTTGATACACCACATATATATAACTTTAAATACATTACACATTATAAATATAAACACCCATGACTGGAGTACAAACATTCGTGCTCATCAGACAAATGAATCTTCAATGCTCATCAGATATGCCCCAGCGGGACTCGAAGCTGCGACCGCTGGCACAGCAAGTAGGGTCACTACAAACTGAGCCAAACGCGATTTTTCTAAATTCTTGTACCTATTTATTATTTGTAATTAATATTACAAGTAATAAAAGTAAAATGAATATCTTAATCCAGGATATAAGTACGTTTACACCGTAAAGAAATGACAAGCCACTACAAACAAATATTATTATACAGTAATTAGTAATTAAACAAAACTTATTGACGTGACTTGTTTTATGCCCTAGCCTAAAGGCTAAAAAGAATTATTATAAGCCTCTGAAAGCTCTATGAAAATAGTTATTGTTGCATTTATGAGTATGGTATTAGGATCTTTATTTTTTTCCTTTAAATGCAAAGTTTTTAAATAATACACATATTGAAAATAAATAAAGGTTACCCCAAAATAATACAATTGCAAATAAAGTCAAAGAAATTCTTACCTAAAAATGTAACATTCATTGTAAATTCTGATTTTGATAATCTATTTTAATGATTGACCAAAAATAATAATACATGAACTTTGCTCGGGTCATAGTCTGTCTGTGTACTATGTTTCATTCAAGCTATCCGGTTGTGTCACCATGAAGGACTAAAAAACATACATAATATTACATACATGAAAGCTTTTGCATTTACAATTTAAACAATCCGATTAAACTCAATATATACCAGTATGCAAAAACAACGCGTGCGCAAGTGTAGGCGTTGTTGCCGTTCCGCTCGCACGGAAATTTTCCACCAGATGTCACTGTATTGGTACTACACCTGTGTTGTTTACGCGATACACGTGCGTTGCCGCTCTGTGAATACAGATACTTCGAAATGTCAAACCTGTTTTCCAACTAAGCTTACTCGCGATACAGTGCCTTTTATAACACTAAAATACGCTTCATTTCTCTTATAGGTTAGTCAAAGCAAATACTTGTGTTCTTTTATGGTGTCATGGTATAATGTCATATATTCCAATAAGACGTATGTTATGAAACTGAGTGAATATTTTGCTTTAGTGTTACATTCCATTCATATTGAATTACTCTGCTCATTATAAGTTTGTGATTAAGCTGAACTGTCACGTTGAAGTTAATATTAAACTCGTCAACTCGTTTTCTGCGCGTGCGCATCTAATGCCATTTTAAATGTTATTTTAAATCTGTGCCACTGTTGTGTGTTCTGAGTTGTGAATCTTTCTTCTGAGATAGCAGAAGATTGATATATTTTTTCTGTTGGTTTGGATTTCGTTTACAATCATGTTTTTATCATATGACGTGATTGCGACGTTTGGTGTGTCAGCGGTAAGAGGATATGTAGTTATAAATAACTTTATATGTAATGTAGGTCAAATGATTGATATCAGTGGAATCGTAGATAATTAGATGTCTGTCTGGTAGGCATCAGTTAATAAATTGCATAGACTGATTGTGAAATTGTGAAGACCGTTTAGGATAGTCGAAGTATTTGTTTCGTCTGAGATGGTGGTAAAATCAATTTCCTCAGAAAATTAAATTTTCAATTTTCGTGTCATAGTTGCGCTTAGATATTGTCAAAATGTATATATTTAATTTAATACGTAATAAGAATTTATTAAAAAAAAGAAATATAACTTTCTCAACTCTAAACTGAAATAAAACCGAACGTAACATAACAAAGAATAATATTTGTTATTATTTCATCGCCGTAAATAACTAATAATGAAATTCATTAGAATATACTATTTATGAAAATTCGTAAAAATCCAATAAAAAGAATTAAAATCGAACTACCAACAAAAATTGAAAAATAATTTTAAACGATATATTTTATTTTTAGAACCCCTTTTAAGGCAATCAGATTTTTTTTACAGAAGATAGCATATTAGAAAAAAACATAATTTATCAAGGAGAATTCCGAAAAAGTAATTAGAGCTTGTATTCAGCCCTTTTTAACGCCCCACTGCTGGGCACGCGCTTTCCTTCAATACGAAGGAGATCAGACCATAGTCCACCACGTCTTTCGAAAACTTGCTAAGTTTTCTCAGATATGCAGGTTTCCTCACGATGATTTCCTTCACCGTAAGGTAAGTGGTAATCATGTTGGGCGGCCGTTTAGAATTGGGGACTTGGCCCCTAGCGGAGTGGGTGGTATTTCTGGATAAGGGACGTGATAGGGAGTCGAAATGTTAAATAAATTTTTTAATACAACAAAAGAGTCAAAAGTTATTGAGACTTAAAGTTATAACATTTCCATACATTATTTTGACATTACTACCATTTAGACACTTGGAGTCAAAACGTCACTTTCAATTGTCAAAATGATCTCCAGATGATTGTCTTTATTTGTACTTTGCGTGAAATTCGAATTTTCTAGTTTTCTAGTCATTTATGGCACTCGCCGGCCGCTACCGCGGCACGCTCGCTTCGCTCGCTCGGCTCGTGCGTTGTGGCAACTGTTCTAACCTAACCTAACCAAGATATGAGGAATAATAAATAAATAATCTTAAATGTTCTAACCTAACCTAACCCAGATATGAGGAATAATAAATAAATAAATAATCTTAAATGTTCTAACCTAACCTAACCCAGATATGAGGAATAATAAATAAATAATCTTAAATGTTCTAACCTAACCTAACCCAGATATGACGAATAATAAATATATAATCTTAAATGTTCTAACCTAACCTAACCCAGATATGACGAATAATAAATAAATAATTAAAAATATTCACAGATAAAAAAATGATTTTTTTTACTAAATGTACAATTGTAAAACAATATATTTTACATAAATCAAATAAAAAGTCATAAATGTATTTATAAAGTGAAAATAATATTTTTCTTTTTATTTATTTATTTATTAATAGTAATATTTTACCAACAGAAAAAGCAAAAATAATCAAATATAATCTGTTGTCATTTAAGCGGTAATATAAAACAAAGTGTCAGTTTTGCTTTTGTCAAAATGTAAGATCATTTTGTTTGTGTTGTGAAATTATTAAAATATTAAATACAATAAAGCATTAATTGTTGTGAAAATGTGTAATGTACATAAAAAAAGGATGCGTACTATTCGTTAAAGGTATGTTTATCTGTTGTAATCACTTATTTAGGTAAAGAAATGTATGGAAATGTGTTAGATATGTTATAACTTTAAGTCTCAATAACTTTTTAGTCGTACGTTTCCTCCAAATATTTTTAATATATTTTGACTCTTTGTCACCTCCCCTATCTAAAAATACCACCCACTCCGAATGGTGGTAAAGAAATATATGAAAATGTATGGAAATGTTGTAACTTTAAGTCTCAATAACTTTTGAATCTTTTGTTGTATTAAAAAATTTATTTAACATTTCGACTCCCTATCACGTCCCTTATCCAGAAATACCACCCACTCCGCTAGGGGCCAAGTCCCAAATTCTGAATTTGTGCCTCATGTTGAAATGATTAGCACATGAAAATATCAGAGGTGCAAGACCCGGGATTTGAACCTGCTTCACTTGGTTTCCCAAGCGTGCCGTTACCACTGGGCTACACCACTGCCTAATAATTAGAGCTTATCTCTTATTAAATAACAATGATTTCATTTTTATTTATATTATTTTTATTTAATTTATAATTAGCGATTTAATACAGGAAATACTTAACATTAATGTACTTTGATACAGATTTAATTTCCACTTAAATCCTCTGGTGATATTATAAATGCAATAGGTAACTAGGATCGTATCTGAATGAAGAGAGGCTAAGTCACTAGCAGAACAATTGTTATTTTTTAATATAATTATTTTCTTTTGAGGCAGTGGTAACGTTCGCTTGGAAATCACTCTCATCGCACTCAATCGCTTTCACCTCTGATACTAATGCGCGATCATACCAAATCGCGAATAATTTCCAACATGATTACCACTTGTCTTACGGCGAAGGATATTATGGTGAGGAAACTGCATGTTTGAGAGAACTAAACTGGTGATTAACGTGGTGGACTTTGGCTTTATCCCCCTGTTATCGAAAGGGAGATCAGTGCCCAGCAGTGGGACGTTAAAGAGGGCTGCATACTAAAACAATTAACTATATACTTAAATATAATGCATATTATGATATTTTAAATTTTAATGTTTTCAGTTGGTGTCGTTCTTCCTGTCAGTGACTCTACTTCTAATGGTGGCATCTAAAAGAGGACTTCTACGGACCACTAGTTCTGAGCCCCTAATGCCGCCAATGAAAGAAAAAATACAGATTATGCCGTCTGCTCCTGAACTGGCACCACTTGCTGAAACTAGATAAAATACACGTCCTAAGTGCATATATTTAAGTATTTTACAAACATGTATACTAACCGAAAATCTTATTTAAGATTAATTGAAAAGATAGTAATATAAGTTTTTATGTAAACAATTGCTATATTTTGAGGAATCGCTAGAGTTCCAAGAATCTCGACACAGGTCAATTTTAATTTTGTATTTGATTATAATGTTACGTTTTACACCTAAATAATATTATTGGTAAAAACCGACGATAATGTTGAAAATTATTACAACTAAAACAAATATAAAATAGAATTGGTGAACTGCACATTGGACTTGCAGAGTTCCATACCGCGATTTTTGTTTTTTGAAACATATTTACTAATAAAATAAGACCTTATAAGTAATAATATTTTTTCATTCTTTGTTGTTTGTTTTTGCTTATAATTAGAATATACCTTTGAATGCATTACCAATTTTACAATTAAGCAAACCCAAAAGGATTTTAAAAAACGTATCTTGTGTAGAAACCAAAAATTATTTATTATTACTATTATTTTCTAATAATTATAACAATATCTCAATTAGTACTTAAATTATATTAAACGGACACACTATTAACTAATTTATTACGTGGTGATTTCCATTTTTATTTCAATAAGCTCGAGTTTCTATATACTAGATAAATCAAACTGAAGCGTTAGCATTATTTTATCTCTTATCATCGCTACTTCCTTTTCCAGGCAGTTGAGGAACAAGTTAAGCCTGTTAAAAATTTATACATTTTGTATTGCTTTATGGCTTTGTGGGTCGATACATAGACGTAGAGAAAGGACTAAGCAATACTTTCATGAAATTGACCACGCTCTAGAAAGAGATAGAAGTGAACGTGCGGCCAATAGATGTATTTTATTTCAATTTAATATTATAAATGGAATGTAAAAAATATGATATTATAATTTACTATAAACTATAATTTTATTATAATGGAATGTAAAATTGCTATTAATATCTATCTTCGTTAATCGTTTCTCTATAGAAGACCGAATCGAAGGCCGCACATTCATTTTATCTCTGTCGCGCCTTTCCCCCATTTTTAGCTGACGGCTGGCAAAGAAACGCTCAGTCCACTCTCTATATCTATGGGTAGATACTACCATAAAAAGTCATACAACGTGACGAAGTGACAAACATAAAAACTCACTGACACACAAATTAACGCATTTATAATATTATTAATGTTATATAGTACACAAATCAATAATAAAGGCTATTTATTAAATACATTAATTTCTTTTATTTTCCTTATGTCTGTTCAGAATTAATTAATTAATACAAAGTAGGTTATTTCTTTACTGTGGCGTAAATATAGAGTTATTTGATAGCTAAATAACTTTGGAGTATGTGGTTAGTATTCGAGTTATAAAGTTGGTTGATGGTGAACTATACGTGAACTTAAATCCACTTTACAAAATGCAACAACAAATATTAATTTTGTAACTTTTTAAATTAAATTTAGAATAATAATATTTCTTAAATATATAATTAATACTTTTAACTTTCTTTATATTTATAAATATAATAAAAGCAGTAAATAAGTTTACTAGTCAATAAAGTTTAAAAAATTGAAATAATAACAGATAAACTAAATAAATAACATTTTCATATTCAATTATTTTATTAAAACAATAAAAAGTGTTTAAAATTAAAATACAAAAATATTGTATTACTTTAGTGGCATATTTGTATATTTGAATCATTTTGTAAAATTGTGGGTAGGCACTGTCTGTAACAAGTAATAAAATGAGAGAGAAAACCTTTGAGATATATAAAACCTTAGTCTCTCCCGTGACCATGATTGCTGTAAAGTATTCGAAACGTGGGGAACCAAAAATCAAAATAAATCCGCGAAATAATCCGAAAAAATAGTTTTTCTTTTAAAATCTGTGCATATAAATAAAATCTGAGATTTCAACTAAGGATAGGATAAGGATTTCAAAGAAGATAAATTACTAGTGAATAATAAAGTAGAGTGTTTTATTATTCACTGGTATTTTACCTTTAATTCTGGGCACATTTGATACGTTTTGACGACGTTTATTTATATATTAAGTTCATCCTCTACAAAACTACTTAAATGGGGTTAATAAGAATTTAATCTAAAAGCTACAAAGTAAACTCCGAAGGTTCAGTTGGTACAGCCATATATGTACACTTTTTTTTTATGTTGGGACATTAACACACAGTTCCATGGTAAGCTACGAGGCTTGTGTTATGGATACCAGATAGTTGATACACTACACATATATAAACTTTAAATACATACATATTATAAATATAAACACCCATGACTGGAGTAGAAACATGCGTGCTCACCACACAATGAATGCCCCCAGCGGGACTTGAACCCGCGACCACTGGCACAGCAAGTAGGGCCACTACACACTGAGCTTAACGTGTCGTCAACTTAACTCCCAATATACTTGTAATTTCCTTCAGAGTGGTTCAAAATTCTAAATTCCAGTAAAATAATTTCGAAGTCGGTGCCAGCCAATACAAAGAAAAGCACACCCACTTCGACAATATTTGATTAGTTATTTTTTACTTCTTAGTGCTTTTTTTGAAGTCAGTTTTTTATTTTTTTGTTAAAAAGTTTTTATTATGCTCAAACACAAACCACGCTTACAATTTTCCGCCGCTACGACTCCGCTGACAGTTGCATTCGTCACAACACCCAGCCAGGCCTGACGTTTATGCGGTAATAGTTTCCATGACCAGTCCTTTCAGAAAGTTTTGTTTCTACAATATCCATTCATTCGAATAGAAAAAAGTAGATAAAAATCGAAAAGGTTTAGAAAACGTAGTTTTGAACGAACGTTTATTAAGAGAAAAACATCTATTAAAAGAAGAAAATTGTATAATAGTCAGACGTAGCCTCTTAGCTTTCAAACAAGATATCTCAAAGGTCATCTTTATAACCAGTGGTAGAAAATGCACTTCTTTAAATATATAAAATATAGCAAAATTTTATTTTACGCTTAGACACATACAGCATATATACGAGTACATTATAATACCCTATTTGGCATTAAAGACTTCTACACGCAAAATATTAGATTTTTATATTATTAGATTACTGTGTGCTATTTCACCCTTCAACTCCTTTTTATTTAAAAGAGCGTTTTGAATTTTTAAGTAACTGTCATAGCTGTTCTCTTCGCTCGGAGCACAACCTAGTTCTCAAAATTCCTCCACATTCTTCATGTTTCTACTCTAACTCTTTTACTGTAAAAGCTGCCCGGCTCTGGAACACACTTCCTTTAAAAATTAAAAGTGCCAAAAGCATTGATAAATTTAAGCTGTTATTAAAAGAATATAACCTGTCCCTTTAGTGCTTTTTTTTATATTTAATTGTATCTATAACTATGTATATTTGTAGGTACGTATGTATATAAATTAGTATGTATGTGTATTGTACGTTTATATATTTGTATTGTGTGTTTAAGTATGTATGTATATTTGTATGTATGTATATATGTATGTATGTACGTTTGTATGTGTATTTATTTATATTGTATTATGTTTATCTATTTATATTGTATGTATAATTATATCGTATAGCAAGTACACCGCCTACCATTTCTCTCACACTCTCCTTTACCTGGTAGTTGGTTGCCTGGAAGAGATCGCTTTAAGCGATAAGGCCGCCTACACTGTGCATATTTGTTAATTTTTAATTACTGTCTGTACGTATTTTTCTCTTTGGTGTACAATAAAGAGTATTATTATTATTATTATTAGACCACGTTTTTACAATGTTCTTTTTCTAATACTAGTGACAGTATTTTGGCGCTGGAAAATTCAATCATGTATGTAGACTCGCAAATTGCGTTGAGGTAATCTGTTACGGCCGGAAAGAGATCAAGGCTTGCGAATGTCTGGTTTACGTGTTGTCAGGGAAACAAAGGTTTACCATACAACAAACATTTAAATTCAACTTATTGTTTGAAAATTCTTGACGGATAAATTCAATATTTTGAAAAGTGAAATGACCCATTAAAATCCCACAAGAATCCGCGTAAAGACGCAGCTATGAATCTAGGAGTTTTTAGTGTTCAATTTTTTTTAGAGATCCCGTACTCTGGGGCTCTTATCCCTTATTGTGTAAGGTCTGCGATTTGGCGCTCTACATAACACTTTCTCTCACGACCATGGATTGTCTGGAAGAAACCTCTTCTAATGATAAGTCAACCGCCTATGTCATTTAATATGGAATGTCTGTATTGTTTTTCATATGTGCAATATTTTTTGGTAGCGTTCACTATAGTGTTAAATATGTAAGTAATAATAAATATTTTTAGTACGAGTTTTTTTATTAACCAGCTTCATAAAAAGAGTATTTCGAATCGGCTGAATTTTAAAATTAATTTGATACGCTTATGTTATAACCGATTGTTTAAATCTTTTTTTTCCATTAAACCAAGTTGAAGTAATATTAGAATATATCTGATAGCTTAGATTTCAAACATGTCGTTATTCCTAACTTTGTGACTTAATCAATTTGTAAATCAGATTTACCTGTTGGAGAAGTTTTTGGGATTTTCATCTTTATTCCTATAGCCACACAGGTTATATTTCATATGTATTTAAGTCATGTTATAACATTCCATATGCAAAGTGACCGTGTAAGGATTGATCCTGTGTAAGCAATAGGAAGAGATTATGCATTATCTATACATGTAATAAAGCTCGTAAAAGGGTCAATATGCTAAATTAAATTTTAAAAAAAACTTTTTATTGTTTAATCGTAGTTAGTTATACTTCTTTTGGCAAGTTTGGAAAAAAATATGAGAGTAAAATTTTTACGATGCGCGCGAACACTGACAGCCAAAAAGCGACATGATGAAGGCAGCTAACTTCCTTTTACAAACAGAGAGTTGTGACGTTATGAGTTATTTTTGTTTTGTTACGCCAAAGAAGTATATGACTTCTTACGTGCGTACACAACTACTTACAAATACATGATTTTTTTTGTTC